GAGGAGTTGATTGTTATTGACTATTTCGATGAATCTGCCTCAAACTATGTTTTCCAACTAATAAGTTTGATCAGGTAAAAAAAATAAAATAAAATAAAAAATGTTTGATTAGTCTCGTTCAATACCATATAAAAATGTTTGTACGCTCGGGAGCGTGCTCTCAAGACGAGGGGACGTGGGTTTCTTTTCTCCAAATGAACTCTTGAACTGTTTTTATATAAAACTTAATAGTTTTGGAACTGTTATAAATAGGTCAAAGTTAGAGAGATAATTTTTACTAGTGACAGAAGCGAAGCATGTGTAAAATATTACACTGTAACTATAGCACAAGAGGATGACAAATAAAGGAGGTAAGAATAGATAATGATGTTATTGATCTTTCCTTTCTTTCTCTCTATATTTTGATTGCAGTTGAGTGCTGCTCTATTTATAGAGCAACTCGCATTATTACATGTTGAAATTTACATAACATGACTTTGAAAATACAATTCTTTTGTTTCCAAAGTCTACATCTCATTTGTGGGCATTGAAAAACCTATGTGTGGGCATTCATAACAATGCCAATGTTTTCAACACTCCCCCTTGGATGCCCACATATCAACATCAGTTGCCTCGTTAAAACCTTGCTTGGAAAAACCTAGTGGTAAAAAACAATAGTGAAGGAAAAAGAGTATAACTTTACTTGGATTGTTGATATAGTGTTAAATATGCTTATGTTGCCTCGTTAAAACCTTGATAGGAAAAACCCGTGGGAAAAATCCTAATCGAAGGAAAAAGAGTACAACATGTATGTATTATGGATGCTCACCCTAATATATATCTCCCCCTGATTCCGCATTCTCCAAATTTAGCTGTTTGGTAAGTTGATGTAATCCGATACTTTGCACTATCTTCTGAAACGTGCACTTTGGTAGAGATTTAGTGAACAAATCTGCCAGATTTTCATTGGAACGGATTTGTCTGACTTCAATAACTTTAGCCTTCTGAAGCTCATGTGCATTGAAAAACTTTGGAGATATGTGTTTAGTCTTATCGCCCTTGATGAATCATTCATTCATTTGGGTAACACAAGCTGCATTATCTTCATGAATGACGGTTGGAGTGTCTGTCTTTGAAGGTAGACCAAATGAATTCCGACTATGATGGATAATTGATCTTAACCAAGAACATTCACGACTTGCTTCATGTAAAGCAAGTATTTCTGAATGATTTGAAGATGTAGCAACTAATGTTTACTTTGTTGAGCACCATGAAATTGCTGTATCTTCATTCTTGAACACATATCCAGTTTGTGAGCGGGCTTTATGCAGATCAGAGAGAAAACCAACATCTACATATCCAACAAGGATTTGGTTATTTGTGGATTTCTTTGAGTAGAAGAGACCCATGTTTGTTGTCCCACGAAGATATCGCAATACATCTTTGACTCCCTTCGAATGACAAATTGTTGGAGCAGAGCTATACCTTGCTAACAAGTTGACTAAAAAAGCTATATTTGGTATAGTACATTGTGCTAAATACAATAAAGCACCTATTGCACTCAAATATGATACTTCTGGACCAAGGACTAGTTCATCATTTTTTTTGGACGAAATGGATCTTTCTTAATGTCCAAAGAACGAACGACCATTGGTGTGTTGAGTGGATAAGCCTTGTCCATACCAAATCGCTTCAGGATTTTTTCAATGTAAGCTAATTGGTGGACCAAAATTCCACTAGCACAATACTCGATCTACAGGCCGAGACAAAATTTTTTTTTTCCAAGGTCTTTCACTTCAAATTCGCTTTTCAGATATTCAGCAGTTTTATTAAGTTCTTTAGGGGTTCCAACTAGGTTCATATCATCGACATATACTGCCACTATAGTAAATCCAGAGTTAGATTTCTTAATAAACACACAAGGGCAAATGACATTGTTGATATATCTTTCTTTGATCAAATACTCACTGAGACGATTATACCACATTCGTCCAAATTGTTTCAGCCCATATAATGATCGCCTTAATTTGATTAAGAGCATACTTCGTGGTTTGTTAGTTGTTTCAGGCAACTTAAGTCATTCTGGGACTTTCATATATATGTCAATATCTAATTCTCCATATAGATACGCGGTGATGACATCCATAAGTCGCATGTCAAGTTTTTCTGAAACCATTAAACTTATTAAGTAATGGAACGTAATTGCGTCCATTACAAGGGAATATGTCTCCTCATAATCAATTTCAGGTCTTTGTGAAAAACCTTGTGCAACGAGTCATGCTTTATATCTTGCAATCTCGTTTTTCTCATTGCATTTCCTTGTGAATACCCATTTGTAACCCACAAGGTTTACACCAGGCGGGGTTTGGACTACTGGTCCAAAAACATTTCGCCTTTCCAAGGAATTTAATTCTGCCTGGATTGTATCTTTCCACTTAGACCAATCTTGTCTCTGTTTGCATTCATCAACAGAGCGGGGCTCAAGATCATCACTTAATATGATTTTAGTGGCTACTGCAAATGTGAACATGTCGTCGATGATTATTTCATTCCGACCCCACAATTCATTAGTACAAGCATAATTTAAGAAGATTTCTTTACTTTCATGTACCTCTGTTTTTTCAGGTACATATGTCTCATCAAGGACATTTTCTTTTTATGAAAGTACAGAATCATGAATTGTGGATGTGTCATTCACTTTTTCTTCTTAAATGATTTCATTTGGATTCAATTATGCCCTCGACTTTCTCTTTCGAGGGGCTGAATCTTTTCAACTTGGAAGTTTACCATGCTTCAAGTGTGCACCAGATAAATCATTTGCTGCCACTTTATTTTGTCCAACAGGGACATTAATTCTTGCAGGTGCATTTGCAGCTGGTATATGTGATTTTGTCACTTTCATAGCATCATTAAATGCATTTGGCATTTGATTAGCAATACTTTGAAGATGAACAATCCTTTTCACTTCATTTTCACATTGAGTGCTATGTGGATCAAAATGAGATAAGGTGGGAACAACCCATGTCAGCTTTTTCCATTCTTCTGGAACGGTCTTTTCTCCCCCTTAACGACGGGAATACTGTCTCATTAAAGTGACAATCAGCAAAATGAGCTATAAACATATCACCTGTCAAGAGTTCTAAATATCTAATGATAGATGGTGAATCAAAACCCACGTAAATTCTCAGTTTGCGCTGAGGTCCCATTTTAGTTCGTTGTGGTGGTGTAATAGGTACATAAACAACACAACCAAAAACTCGTAAATGTGAAATGCTTAGCTGATGCCCAAACACAAGTTGTACTGATGAGTATTGGTGGTTGGCTATAGGTCTTTATCACACCAATGATGCAGCATGTAAGATGGCATGTCCCCATGTAGAAACTGGCAATTTTATTTTCATGAGCAGAGTGCGAGCTTAATACTGAAGCTGCTTGATCAATGCTTCTGCTAAACCATTTTGAGTATAGACATAAGAAATAAGGTGTTCAACATCAATGCTCAATGTCATGCAGTAATCATCAAAAGTTTGAGACGTAAATTCACCAGTGTTATCAAGTCGGATTGACTTAATGGGATATTTTGGGAACTATGCTCGCAACTTAATTATCTAAGCAAAAAGTCTCACAAAAACTACATTCCAAGTAAACAAGAGATAAACATGTGACCATCGGGTAGAAGCATCAACCAAAACCACAAAATATCGAAATGGTCCACATGATGGTTGAATAGGCCCACAAATATAATGATGGGGATTCGGCATCGACCTTTAGTTGTGATCGTCTAATTACCAACTTCCTTTGAGAACAAGCCTTGCAACGGTTATCATTTGAGATAGCAATGTGCTTGCTCAATAATGGATGTCCATTAGGGTTGGTAATGATTCTACGTATCATGGTAGATCCTGGGTAACCCAGACGGTCATGCCAAAGCATGTAAACTTTTGAATCAATGAACTTCTGGTTCATGACATCATGTCATTCAATTGTCCTTATGTATGTATAATACAATCCATTCGACAAACCATGCAACTTCTCCAATATATGCTTCTGAGTATCATTGGAGGTAATGCATAGATATTCCACATTTTCTGCACTTTTTGTTTCTATGTGGTATCCATTTAAACATATGTCTTTAAAACTCAACAAATTTCGAGTTGATCGAGTAGCGTACAACGCATTTTGTATGGACAATTTGGTAACATAATCTGGGCTTTCCCTAAGCCTTTAATCATATCTGATTGCCCTGATATTGTTGTTACCCTTACTTTTGCAAGCATCAATCTTGAGAAATACTTTCGATCTCGAAGTATTGTATGTGTGGTTGCGCTATCTACAAGACAAATATCTCCGTTATTTCTCATGTTTTGAGAATGACCATAGTTTTCATCCATGTTTTCTAAGTAAGGGAACCACAGTTAAAATCAATTTATAACAAGAAATTTAAATGCTACTTTTATTGAATCTGAAATACTAGTTTTTAAACGACAAGTTCAACATAATAAAAGTACATCAAACATCAATGATTCAATTAGACCGGTATACTTCATTTTCCCTTTCCACCATGAAGTCCGAGACCTCTAGGTGGGTTGTGTTCAACTGTCCTGATAAGTCGCACACTGGATTAGGTATATCCATTGGTTTAGCCTAGTCGAGAAAATTAGTCTTGACACCCTTCTCCTTGAGGGAGGCTTGATATAGATCCACCAGATATTTTGGGGTACGACAGATACGCACCCAGTGCCCATCGCCACCGCACCTATGGCAAGCTCCATCAGAGTTTCTAGGAGCATTGTTCATACTAGCTTTGCCTTTGTGGCGGTTTTCATTTTTAAAGCTTGGGCTTGAATTATGCCTTGGAACCTGGTTGTGAAACTGGACACCATGATTTTTGCCTTTCCCGTTCCACTGTCCTCGCCTGTGCCACATCCTTGTTTATGATTATTGCCACCAGAAGATGTGGCGTTCACTTCGAGGGAAGCAGCATTCACTTCTGGGAATGGTGCAGATCTAGTAGGTCGGGACTAATGATTTTTCACCGGGAGCTCATTGTTTTGTTCAGTTACCAAGAGCATAGATATCAACTGGTTATATTCAGTAAAGCCTTGCGCTCTATACTGCTGCTGCAGGAGCACGTTAGAGACATGAAATGTGTTGAAATTCTTTTCTAGCATATCTTCCTCAGTAATGGTATCCCCACAGAACTTCATCTGAGAGGTAATTTTGAATAACGCAAAATTATACTCAGCCACTGACTTGAAATCCTGGATCCTTAGGTGAATCCATTCATAGTGAGCCTTTGGAAGAATCACCGTTGTCTGGTGATTGTATCTGTTTCTCAATGCCTTCCAGAGAGCTAACGAATCTTCAACTGTTAAGTACTTGCTCTTTAGTCCCTCATTAAGATGGCGATGAATAAAGATCATGGGCTTCGCCCGATTTTGAAAGGATGAGTTGTTTTCTTCCCTAATGGTATCTCCAAGATTCCCTCCTTCCAGATAGATCTTGGTATCCAGTACCCAGGTAAGGTAATTTTTCCCAGTAATGTCCAGGGCAGCAAAATCAAGCTTTGCCAAGTTCACCATTTTCTTTTCTAAAAGAAAATTGAGATGTGTAAGACTTGCAATAATATGTAATCTGGGGGATGTAGTGTTAAAACTTCTGGTTCTTACAAATTTTTCATTTTGATCTTCAAGCCAAAATGATAAGCACTCGAAACTTCTGGCTCGAGATTTACATGATGAATGAGGAGGGCGATTGTATTTCACCATTCTTATAACATAGGATGGGCGATTATTCTGCACTATTCAAGTAGCAGGAAAATTTAAATATACAAAGCAGGGTGGGTGATTATACTGCACCACTTAAAATTGCAATGAAATTAAACAGCAGGCAAATTTAAATATAAGGGTATGATGGGCGATAATACCGCTCCACCTAAAATTTGCAGTAAAATTAGATCTGCAGTCCAAAATAGGAGATGATACCGCACCATTTGCAGTTCAAGATGGGCGATTGTACCGCACCATCTTGGATTGCAGTAAAATTAATATAAATAAACACTAGGTTAGTAATCAAGATCTACACCAAACAAGAAATCAAAGATATATGTAACTGTTAGGTTGAGAAATAAAAGCAGGCATGGTGCAAACAGTTCTTCATGAGGGTATATCTAGCAGTTGAGGCAGAGGAAGAAGATGAATAGTAAAATCCTTAGAGAAAACTTTTTTTTTTCTTTCGGCGAAGAGAAATGAGGAATGGTTATATTTAAAGAGTCGTGCTGATAACGTGTTATAAATAGGTTAAAGTTAGAGAGATAACCTTTACTAGTGACAAGAGCGAAGTAAGTGTAAAATATTACATTGTAACTATAGCATAAGAGGATGACAAATAAAGGAGGTAAGAATAGATAATGATGTTATTTATCTTTCCTTTCTTTTTCTGTATTTTGATTGCAGTCGAGTGCTCTATTTATAGAGCAACTCGCATTATTACATGTTGAAATTTACATCACATGACTTAAAAAATACAATCCTTTTGTTTCCAAAGTCTACATCTCATTTGTGGGCATTGAAAAACATACGTGTGGGCATTCATAACAATGCCAATGTTTTCAACAGAAACAAATATTGTACATTAGAAAAGATTGTTGATATTTTTACAAAAAAATGAGAGCTGATTTTTAGTAACGTTTAAGTTTTTTCCTATTAAGGAGATAAAGGTCCCATCTTTCTAACAAATGTAATGTAACAACCTGTCTCGGGATTTACGAAACAAAAAGAGTTTTTTTGTATTTTCACTAAGTTTAGGGATATTTTTCTTTTAAAAATGGTTTTCGGGTCTTAAATGGTGTGCCCAAGGGGGGCCCACCCCTGATTTGTGTCCCCGGTCTCTTTCTCCCTTTTCTCTCAGTTCTTTCTTCTCCTTCACTCTCCCTTATCACTCCCTCTCGACTCTCTCTATCTCAGCCCCCTTCAAGGGTTTTTCTCACCAACAAACAACACCACAACAACATCAATATCTCCACTAACACCCTAGTGAGTTAGAATCGAAAGATAACACCCCAAACCCCTCTCTTTCTCTCGGCCTACATTGCTCACCGAAGTTCTCCGACGAGTTTCCTCCTCTTCCGACTAAGGTAAGCCTTGAACCTCATCCAAAAGTTATAGATCATGTCTTAATGTATGTTGGGAAGTGGTTTTAAGAAGTGTTATCGATGTTTGGACGTAGGAACCTCACAAGGAAAAACTTCCCTAGTTTTTCGACCATCACCGCCTCTTTCGAGGCAATTTCCAGCCAAACCACGGTGAGTTGGCTGACGTGCAGGTATCAATCTCTTAATCTCATTGAGTACTACAACTTTCCTTTTTGAATCACCCAGTTTCGTTGAGTATTGAAAAAGTTATATCCATTTGAATCTTACCCAGTTTCCGACGACCTCTGAGGCTTTAGAGGAATTTTCCGACCAAACCACCGTGAGTTAGACGTTGTGTGAGGTACCATTCTCTTCGTCTCATCGAGAGCTATGACTTCTATTTTTTAATCACTTAATTTAGTTGAGTATTGACAAAGTTATTAACATTTAAAGTTTGTTCAGTTTTCTTGCCGAATTCTGGCCTTCTCCTTCCTTTGGGTCCAACGACCTATGTTTTGAGCTCAGGGGGGCTTTCAAGCCTAAACCCTCTTCCTTTTATTTGGTTTAAACGCCAAAACCCTTGTAGATAGGCCTTTGGGCCATTCAACCTAACCCATCAGAAACCCTTGGGAACCTAACCCATTTTTCCCCAACCCAAGACCTAAGTAGAACCAAGCCTTGGACCTAGGACCTTTCAGCCCAAACCTACTAGCCCAAGTTCCAAACCCATCAAAACCCAAGCCCAGAACTCAGGCCCAATTCGGATCCAAGCTCAAACCCGTTTAACCTGCTGACTTGGACCCGGTCTGACAGTTGACCCGGTGAAGGTCAGCGTTGACTTTGACCGTTGACTTTTTGTTAACTTTTCGGGTTTTCGTCTGGGACTTCTTCTAGGCTAATTCCGATGTCCTGGACCTGTTTTTGAAGTCCGTTTTCCCAAATTCAATCATTTGAGTAGAGTTTGACTAAATATACCCTTTATGTGCTTAGGGGCAATTATTTGTGGCGTTTTCATCTTCGCTAGTTGCGTGGCTCTTCGACGGCAAAGAACTGTGAGTGGACCTCTTCTAAAAATGCATGTTTTGATAGTAGAAATGCATACATGAAAAGCATGATTTGATGACTATGTTTTATGAAACGTTTTATGACATAACATGCTTACTAAGGCTAGTTTGAATTATTACTATTTTTCCTATAACCCGTGTTCTTATAAAATATCTGATGGATGACGATATGATATTTAGAACATGTTTAGAACACATCTATATAGTATAGATGATATATGACTTTATACTATGAAGTTGTTTTTCAATATATGTATGTTCAATGGTTTTGTATTTACCTAGTGGTCCTTATTTCATTACGAGACGTAGGGAAAAATTCCGGTCCGTCCTGGGCGACGGTTTGGTGTTGGCATAGGGCCTGGAGTGTGTTTCCTCTGGCTATTAGCACAAGGACGGGTAGTCGGCATAGGGCCTGGAGTGTATTTTCCTCTGACTGTCTGTTCAGAGACGGGAGCCGGCATGGGGGTTATCGGACGTTCACTAGTGATTATTATATATACAAGTTATGATTTGAGACATTGCAGGGCATACTAGGTTTCGAAAAACCAATTTTATCATGTTATATGTGCTTCCATAAAACATGGGGGTTAGTACGTTGATAATTGTTTTATTTTATATATATATATATGTATGTATGTATGTATAAACTTGGTCCACTCATGTTTGTTTTGCACGCCCTTCAGAACTTAGAATCGAGTCATACAATCCTAGTGTTAAGGCACTTCAGCATCGGTATCTTCAAGTCCTCTCGGTGTAGGACCTATTCTTTTATTCATTCAATTTTATATTATTTCTTTTAGTGTTCTAGTTAGTTGTATACTCTGGTATTCGGGGAATATCGGGATTGAGGCGTGTCAAGTAAGGCCCACCAATACATGTAGGTTTCATCTCTATCAAAGAAATGATACAAATGATGGTTACAAATAGATTGTAGGAATATCATTTCTTGCAAAAAAAATTACGGTTGTTTAGATAGAGACCTTGCAACTCTTATTTCCTAAACAAAAACCTACCTAGTTTTAAAAATGCAAATAAAACCCAAGTTTAAAAGGCTGCCAAATAGAAAAGTAGTTGACTTTTTATTACAAAATATTTGCAACTTCTATCACAATATTCAAAATAAATCACTAAATGTTATTACTCACCTTAATTAATAACAATGAACACATAATTATTGCACATATTATTAACCCTGACATACACACACACACACACGTTTAAAAGTATATAGTATATATATATATATATATATATATAGGATAGGTTAAGGGACAAACATTTTTGACAACTATTTTTACACTCTTTTTAAGCCTTTAGATCACATGACAACCAAGGGTCCTTAATTCATTAAATGAAATAGATGCTCATGTGGATTTTAATTAATATTCAAAACAAAAAACAAACCTAAAATGACATAAAATCTTGAAGAAGGAATTAAAAATAAAATTAAAAAGAAATCCTATAAGCGTGCAAAGAAGAAATGAGTAGAACTCCATCGATTCGTAGCTTCCATCTCCTTCTTTGTCGTTGAGGTCTGCATCTTCTGGCACCTCGACGCCCTCACCGTCATCATCATCCTCCCTGCCATCGATGCATCCATCTCCTTCCTCACAAAATAATAAAACCTTTGGCATCATTTCAAGAAAGTACATGAGTGGCTCCAGGGAAAAACAGCGCAAAGTATGCTCCTCATAAATAGCCACAAAAGAGAACATAAGCTCAAGGCAATGAGGAAAACTATGTTCTGATAAGAGTTTATATTCATAGACAGTTTATTAGACAAGTAATTTTGGAAATATTTTTACACTTTTTTTAAACCTTTGGATCACATGACATCCAAGGGTCCTTATTTATTCATTAAATGACATGGAAGTTTATGTGATTTTAACTAATATTAAAAATAAAAATAAAATGAAAAAGCATAAAATCTGGAAGGATTAAAATAAAATTAAAAGGGGAGAAGCCCTATAAGCATGTAAACCAGAAAAGAATAGAACTCCTTTGATTCATAGCCTCCATCTTCCTCTTTGCCGATGATTATTTCCAAAATTACTTGTCTAATAAACTGTCTATGAATTTAAACTCTTATCAGAACATAGTTTTCTTCATTGCCTTGAGCTTATGTTCTCTTTTGTGGGTATTTATGAGAAGTATACTTTGCGTTGTCTACACCGATTCCTATTCGGTTCTTGCCAGTTTACGGTTCCAAATACTAAATTATTTGAACACCAAATCATCATGCATTCAAATACATCTTCTAAAACTCTTCAACAAAAAAAAAAAAAAAAAAAAAAAAAGAAAAGGAAAACATCTTCTAAAATTGATTATATAAAGTTGCATAAATTAAAAGTGATTTCTTTCCCACCAGCCTCCTCAGGTGGGAAAG